ACATATCTGGTCTAGCCACTAATTTGGCTCTTTAAGCCTAAATGTTGCAGATCACAACAACTCACTGTTTAGTGAATAGTACAGTAAGATACAGATGTATATTCACTATACAACACTGAATTGTAGTGAATTGAAACCAAAACAAATAAAAAAAAAATGTAAAATTAGTTTATTTGAAAATAATTCTTTAACTCTGCTACATGCCAACACATGTTCGTCTAAATTTTAATTAGTTAAATGGTAGCTTCACCATCTCGCTTTGTTTATTTTTTTTTAACTTCTAGGAACACAAAGGAATGCTGTGCAATCCGTCTCTGCATAGCGTGTGAAGAATAGGCTCATTGTACTTGTCCTATGGGAGGGTTATCTTAACTAGTGCACCTCTCACGCAACTAATGCATGAGTCAGCGAAAACAGTTACTATTGCAGGATGTATTTCTACTACATTACATGAGTATATATACTGTGTATTTTTTCTTTTTTAAGAATGGCAGATTATGTGCAATGCTTACACTGATAACACAAGTAACATTTTGTTTGTTTTTTTTGTGCTGTAATACCTGCAAACAATCCCCTGTTTGGGTGATCAGTCCTCAATTTAGGGTTTTGACACCAGAACATTTGGCTTAACACTGATATTACATATTTCATTTTTCTATAACTTTTTTTGTGTTAAATAAGTTATGTGAATAGTATGGTAATGAGGATTGCTTAATTAAAAGCTAGAGAGTTTTTACCCTGTGTATAATAATTTTAGGTTTTGTGATAACCATGTTAATTATCAGAAATTTATCATGATTCCATATATAGCATTTTGTCCCAGAAATGCTCTAGTGTACCTGTTTCTCTGTGTATTTGCATTCACAGTGGTAGTAGATGACTTCAGTGCCGGTGACGGTCAGTGCCACAGTGCTACAGACCTCCCCTAGCCTAAACCTGTTGGAGCTGTTAGGTGGATTTAAGCCTCATGGAGACTTGGAGGCAGAGGATTGCTCTGATCATTTGCTTACCTTGGCATCAAACATAGGCCAATGGTCACAGAAGCCACCCTTGGAAACATCTTCAAGGTCCAGAGACATACGGTACAGCAGCAGCCGCCTCCTAAAATGGCAGGAATGGCAGAACATGCCATTACACCAGCAGACCGCATGCAGTCTGACTCCGCACCAGAGCAGGTACACAGCAGGAGACTCAGATGGGTCAGCCCCAGTTACACAACAGGACTTTCACAATTTGGTCATGGAGATCAAAAGCCTACTGGTGGCGGATGTGGCTGCCATCATAGCCGACATGCAAGCAGTAACTGACATGGTGAAGGCCTCAGAGGACGACATGGCAGACATCAAGCAGGGACTGTCATCCCTACAGGACACTGTACTAAACATGCAAGCTCACCAGCAAGCTCTCTCACTACACTACACTGCTCTTGATGACAGCTAACAAGGCAACCACCTAAAGATCCGAGGAGCACCTGATTCAATCACACCTGATGAGTTCCCTCACTATATGAGGCGACTTGTGGTACTACCTCCAAGCTAGGCTAAGAAGTTCCTCAAAGACGGGATCTACAGTCTACCAGCAGCCGACAGAACTCCCTCCACAACGGTAAGGGATGTGGTCGTCCGGTGTTCCCCCTCACAAGATGTCAGCACTCCAGGGCAGGACACCACTAGCCTTTGAGGGCTCAAGCCTCTCTTTCTACCAGGATCTCACTAAGTCCACATTACAGTGGTGAAGGTCTCTTAATCCTGTGACCACACACCTGAGAGCAGAGGGAGTGGGGTACCACTGGAGATCACCCAGGTTCCTGGTGTTCACACACACACACACACACACACAACGGGACAATACATAAAATATCTATATATGCTGAATATCTATATAGCTGAAGTTCTGCCTGTGGATAATACTCAGAACGACAGATGGATGCGTATTAGGATCTTTAACCTGTGGCTTGGTGAATGGCGTCGGGAGCAAGGATTTGGCTTCATTTCTCATTGTAGCTCTGTTTGGAATGGAAATAAACTGTACAAAAAAGATGGTTTGCAGTGAGCAGTTCAGAGGTTTTTCTAGGATGTATTTACACTAGGATGGTGGGTGGGGGGGGGGCAAAAGGGTAATAAATCATCAATCCAATTGCCCTCCAAAACAAGGACACTGTAGCAAGTGTGTTAAAAATGATAAGCTTAGAGTCATGTCTACAAATGCACACAGTTTAGGGAATAAGATCCATGAACTTGTGGCAATAATGGCAACTGATAATGTAGATTTAGTCGCTGTTACTGACACATGGTATAATGAGAAAAATGACTGGGACATAGCAATACCAGGGTACTCTTTATATAGAAAAGACAGGGAAGGCAAGAAAGGGGGAGGGGTGGCCCTGTAAGTGAAGGATGGCATAAAATCTAGCCTAATAAATGTTAGTGAGTTAAAATTTGGTAATCACACAGTAACTTGTGTAGGTGTAATTTATAGGCCCCCAGGACAAATAGAAGAGTTAGATAACCTACTAGTTGAGGAAATAGCTAATATGACATTGAAGGGGGGAGTTATCATCATGGGTGACTTTAATCTTCCTGATGTGAACTGGAAAACACACATATTCTAAACTCCCTACTGGGTTTGTTTCTAAAACAAGTAGTTGAGGAGCCAACTCGTAAAGAGGCCATACTAGATTTAGTGTTAACAAATGGAGATTTGGTATCAGATATTACTGTAGGTGAAAGTTTAGGATCCAGTGATCATCAGTCAGTGTGGTTTAATATAAGAACAGTGACTGAGTCACACCACACAAAAACCAAAGTGTTAGACTTTAGAAAAACAGACTTTTCTAAAATTAGAATATGTGTAGAGGAGTCATTATCAGACTGGAGCAATTTAAATGGAGTCCAAGAGAAATGGGATTATTTAAAAGTTGCACTACTGAAGGCAACAGAAAATTGCATTATACTGGTCAATAAAAGCAAAAAAAATTAAGAAACCACTGTGGTACTCTACAGAAGTGGGCAAAATAGTAAAAAACAAAAAGTTAGAATTTAGTAATTATAAAAAAAAAAAAAGAAACACAGAGTGCGGAAGATAGACAGAGACATATAAGATTAGACAGAGAGGCTAAGCAAGTTATAAGAGCTTCCAAATCACACACAGAAGAGAAACTTACCCAGTCAGTAAAAAAAGGGGACAAAACATTTTTTAGATACATAAAGGAAAATAAAACAAGGATTAGTTAGATTAAAAACAAAAGAAGAAAGGTATGAATAAGAGGATATAGGTCTAGCTGACTGCCTCAAATAATATTTTTTTTCAGTATTCACAGATGAAAATGAAGGCAAGGGGCCTCAGTTAAGAAAAAAGGCAAATGAGTCATGTGTTACATGTGAGTTTACAGAGTAAGAGGTTCTATTTCAACTGTCAAATGGTACCTGATGGAATACACCCAAAGTTATTAAAATAGCTTAGTGGTGTACTAGCAAAACCATTAACAGGTTTATTTCACCAATCCTTGTTAACAGGAGTAGTCCCAGAAGATTGGAAGTTAGCGAATGTTGTGCATATTCACAAGAAAGGTAGTAGGGAGGAGTCAGGCAACTATAGGCCAGTAAGCCTTACTTCAGTAGCGGGGAAAGTAATGGAAACCGTGTTAAAGGATAGCATTGCTGAACATATGAAATCACATTGATTTCAAGATTAGAGACAACATGCGTTTACTTCAGGGAGATCATGCCAAACTAATCTTATTGATATTTTGATTGGGTAACTAAAATAATAGATCAGGGTGGTGCAGTAGACATTACTCACCTATATTTCAGTAAGGCTTTTGACACTGTTGCACATAGAAGGCTTATCAATAAACTGCAATCTTTAAGTTTGGATTCCAATATTGTTGAATGGGTAAGGCAGTGGCTGAGTGACAGGCAACAGACGGTTATAGTCAATAGAGTATATTCGAAGCATGGCTTGTCACCAGTCGGGTACCTCAGGGATCTGTACTTGGACCCATTCTCTTTAATATTTTTATTAGCAATACTGCAGAAGGTCTTGATGGTAAGGTATGTCTTTTTGATGATGATCCGAAGATATGTTCCAGGAGGGATAAGCCAAATGGCAAATGATTTAGGTAAACTAGGAATTTATCTAAAATACCCCCAATTGTCTGTTCTTATGTAGCTATCTGCTCCCACCTTTTACACCTGCTTTAGCTGTTTTTACCATAATGGATAGTTAAATATTGGGTGTATACAATCACCTGCTCTTCGTTGCTACATATCTGTATTAGTATCTATTCTCCTATTCAATATTATAAAGATATCTTACAATTGTGTATCTGAATAGTTAAATGAGCTGCTTTGTATTTGGATACTTTAAAAGTAGCTATTATAAGATACACTAGGCAGGCTACATAGATTTCTCCTTTTTTAAGTCACCTGCACATGTTTTGCATCACTATTTTATTTGGTTTCACGTCTATGTACATGTAACAGTCTAATGTTTAGTATTGAATAAAGATATTAATATTAGTATTTTTTTTTAAACCCTTTGATTGAGTGGTTACTCTTAATGTGGGTAAATCTTTGGCAGTCTTTTGAGAATTGATATCCGTGGCACTCGGGTCCTCACTCTCAATATATCCGCTTAAGGAATATTACCAAACCAACCTTCAAACAGAGCGCTCTTTTTAAAATGTATTTTTATTTATTTATTTTTAAAGCATAGTATAAGAAAGGGTGGATGGGGAGGATTACAAGCCACACTCATTTCACGCTTAGGCAGCAATTTTTCAAGAGTTCCCTCTGTTGGAATGTAATGAACTTTCGTTGTCATAAAATGTCACTCAAAGGTTATCCTGACAAGATTACCAAAATAAATCTTACCACTTTAAATTAGAATTTGTGCATTATTGATCCATGTATAAAAAAGTAAAGCAAAACAATAAAATGTAACATATTGTAATGTTTTATTAAAAATCTAAGCAATGGGTAGCCATACTAATATAAATTTTAAAACTTGCAATATTTATTGTAATTTATCTTCTCTCCCAGTTTTGTTCCTGCGAGCTTCTCTTCAAATTTTGCATCCAGTTCTTTGCTCTGCTCTTCATTGAAATGGTTTTTCCAGTCACCTATTTCTCCTTTCAAAAGAAAATACGATAAGCAATGAAAACTCTGCAGATACTCAATATTTTTTCATACTATTATATGGATTATACAAATACATTTCAAGATACAGCTGAACTTAAATTGAAATACATTACTTGACTGGAACAAGGGCCAGTACTACCATTAGACAAATAAGGCATTTGCCTGGGGAGCAGACCTCTTGGGGGAGTTTACGGGAAGGTTTCATTGTGGGATGCCCAACTGCTGTCTAGGGCTGGTGTGTTGGGTGAGCAGCTTCTTAGCCAATCCCAGCGCATGGTTGTAAATTGCTGTGTTTGTGTGTAAATAAAGTATGATATATGAAAGGTGGTGTGAGTTTGGTTTAAATGACAGGGTGTGTTAGGGAGTATGCAACAGTGTTAATTTCAAAATTTTTGAGATTTAGTCGACTAAAACAATTCAAATGACTAAAATACGACTAAAACTGAATTTTAATCAAAAGACTATGACTAAATCTAAATTGAAATTTAGTTTAAGTCATAGTCTGCCAAAATTAACACTGCACAATGGGGCTGTGGAAGGGGCTAAAGAGACAGATAGAGGCTTTATTTAAACCCATTAGATTTTAGTCGTGTTGACTAAAAGCTTCAGTAGATTTAGTGGACTAGAACCTACTGGAATTTTAGTCGACGAATGCTAAACTAAAACTATTCAGATGATTAAAATACGAATAAAACGTGTTTTTCGTCAAAAGACGGACTAAAATCAAATTGAAATGTGCCGTCAAAATTAACACTGGTGTGGAAGTGACACTGTAAAAGTGAGTGAGAGTGTGTATTAGTGAGAATGTGTAAGTGACACTATGCATGTCAGCGAGAGTGTGTTAGTGAGCAGTTTGCCCCATTAGGAGGGTACAGTGCCAGAGCACTCCTAGCATAATAACCATTATGAGTAATGCTGTTCCTGAAGGAGAGAGCTAGTTCCTCAAGGAAAGGACTAGTTTCTGTAGATTTCTCTGCTGCAACCACAGATTTGTAATTTCTCTGCTGCAGCAACAGCTAACAGTATTATGGCTTGCACTGTTAAAATGGCATGCAGAACTTGAAAAACAACATCTCAAATTCTTTATTTTATTCATATTAAATTATGTTTAATATACGAATATTAGATAAGAAATGAAAGCTCTGTTTCTACTACACACAATGATTTATAATAAGTATATTATCAGTGTGGGTGCATTTAATATGAAAATAGATACATTACGGTTGAACAGACATAAAGAGCACATTTCAAATTTTGTTTTGATTAGAAAGTGTACAATTGCTTTTGTCCCTAAGGGGTTAATATAACCTATTCTAATATGGAGTTATTTTACTGCTTACCTTTTCGAAAGAAAACGTTACCAAGTTTTCCATGTGTATTGGAAGAATTTTCTTTCATGGTTTTAAAATTAGTTTTACTTTCAACCAACGAAATTTGCTCGTCTGTCAAAGACAGTCCAAAGAAATCAGATATTTTCTGAAGTTCGGATTTAAAATCCTATAAAATAAAGAAATAAAAATAACAAAATGTGTTAATATAAACGTGTCATGGGAAAGAGAAAAAAATTATTATTTTTTCCCCCAAAACAAAAATATTTTATTATAAAAGGTCCCAAAACCTGTGCATTATTGTACAATGGTAGTTCGCAACCATTTGAGATGGTCAATATGTAACAGGCCAAATGGTTTCACTGCCTAAACTATGTTTATACAAAATGCAATACACAACATTATGGTAGTTATAAATAGTCATGCTTGTTATCACAAACACACTTCCATATGTACTCTTCTTCCAACATCCTTTAAAGGAACACTGTACTGTATCAACATACTGTTCCTTCGTCTAACTCCTCTGTCTCAAATTACAGTGGGACCTCGGTTTACAAACGCCTCAGTTAAAGGACCACTATAGTGCCAGGAAAACATACTCGTTTTCCTCCTTCTTCCTAGCGACGTCATCGGCTGAATGCGCATGCGCGCAAGGGTGCACGCACGCATTTAGCCAGTTCATAGGAAAGCATTCACAATGCTTTCCTATGGACACTGGAGTCTTCTCACTGTGATTTTCACAGTGAAGCACACAAGCGCCTTTAGCGGCTGTCAATGAGACAGCCACTAGAGGCTCTAGAGGCTGGATTAACCCTCAGTGTAAACATAGCAGTTTCTCTGAAACTGCTATGTTTATGAAAAAATGGGTTAACTCTAGCTGGACCAGGCACCCAGACCACTTCATTAAGCTGAAGTGGTCTGGGTGCCTATAGTGGTCCTTTAACATAATTTTCGGTTTACAAATGAAAATCCATTGAAAATAATGCCTTGATTTACATTTTTTTTTCGCAATACAAAGCAAGTTTCTCCGGGATTCATTGCACCTGGGAGGTTTATAGCACGGCCCCCTGCATGCTGGTGCCTGTGGGTAGCACATGGCGTCGAGTGTGGAGGTATTGGAGCGGTTTTTGCATCGAGTTCTGGAGCCATTCTGGAAATTGTTTGCAGTTTTATTGCGAATTTTTGGTGCATTTCTCAAGCTTTGGAAAGGTAGGGAGCTGAGCTTCGATGTTTGCATGCCTTTTATTGTGTGTTCTGCATTGTGGGTTGGTTTCCATGCCAGCTCATTTTGACTTTTTCTGACCTCCAGAACGGATTAATTGGTTTTCAATGCATTCCTATGGGAAACCACGTTTCGGTTTACAAATTTTTCGCAATAAACATGAACAAGCTTGTGCATACAGCATGGTCAAAGCATATAACAAATCATATCTCTAACATTTATCTGGGGCAGAGGTTCTCAAACAGTCCTCAAGACCCACCAATAGTCCAGGTTTTATTAATGTCTCCATTGGAATAAAACAGGGAAATACATAAATCCTGGACTGTTGGTGGGCCATGAGGACAGGTTTGAGAACCACTGATCTAGGGGGATGTAATAGGTGTGATCTTCCTAAAATAGGAGGGTGTAGGGGTAGGATCTTCTAAGAAGACGAGGAAGCACCCACACTGCATTGCTGCTACATTGTAGGAGGTGTAAATAGCTCATGCTAAAAGAGCAGCCATGTTTTGATACATTTTCTTGATACACTAATCAGTTTGTAAAAACTTTTAAAATCTATTTTACAAATTCTTGGTTTGTCAAGATTTAAGAGAGTTTTATTTTGAGAGGTACAGGATTAACTAGAAGATAATACATATCTATCCTATGAATAGAATGTTTATTCAATATTTACCGGATACCCTGATGATATGAAGAACTGACCCAACTCAATTTCAGCAGCTTTGTGAAAGTCGGTGCATTTTGGGTTGACAACTTTTTTTTTTTTTTTTACGTAGCATGTCATGCATATTTAACAGTTTGGAAAACATAACTTACATGCATCTGGTTCAAATAAGAATTTTCAGAAAGACTGTTTTTTTCTCCCCATTTGACTTAAAGCATGTTATAGTATGAGAATTAAAATCAAAAGTTATATCTATAAAAGGTACAATAGATTCTTGTGGAGATTTAATTATGAGAAAAAAAAAAAAAACACACTTTGTAGTGTACAGAATTAACAAGACTATTACAATTTTTAAACCAATATACAGTTGCAAGAAAAAGTATGTGCACCCTTTGGAATGATATGGATTTCTGCACAAATTGGTCATAAAATGTGATCTGATCATCATCTAAGTCACAACAATAGACAATCACAGTCTGCTAAAACTAATAACACACAAAGAATGAAATGTTGCCATGTTTTTATTGAACACACCATGTAAACATTCACAGTGCAGGTGGGAAAAGTATGTGAACCCCTAGACTAATGACATCTCCAAGAGCTAATTGGAGTGAGATGTCAGCCAACTGGAGTCCAATCAATGAGATGAGATTGGAGGTGTTGGTTACAGCTGCCCTGCCCTATAAAAAACACACACCAGTTCTGGGTTTGCTTTTCACAAGAAGCATTGCCTGATGTGAATGATGCCTCGCACAAAAGAGCTCTCAGAAGACCTACGATTAAGAATTGTTGACTTGCATAAAGCTGGAAAGGGTTATAAAAGTATCTCCAAAAGCCTTGCTATTCATCAGTCCACGGTAAGACAAATTGTCTATAAATGGAGAAAGTTCAGCACTGCTGCTACTCTCCCTAGGAGTGGCCGTCCTGTAAAGATGACTGCAAGAGCACAGCGCAGACTGCTCAATGAGGTGAAGAAGAATCCTAGAGTGTCAGCTAAAGACTTACAAAAGTCACTGGCAAATGCTAACATTCCTGTTAGCGAATCTACAATACGTAAAACACTAAACAAGAATGGATTTCATGGGAGGATACCACAGAGGAAGCCACTGCTGTCCAAACAAAATATTGCTGCACGTTTACAGTTTGCACAAGAGCACCTGGATGTTATACAGCAGTACTGGCAAAATATTCTGTGGATAGATGAAACCAAAGTTGAGTTGTTTGGAAGAAACACACAACAACACTATATGTGGCAAAAAAAAAGGCACAGCACACCAACATCAAAACCTCATCCCAACTGTGAAATATGGTGGTAGAGGCATCATGGTTTGGGGCTGCTTTGCTGCGTGAGGGCCTGGACGGATTGCTATCATCGAAGGAAAAATGAATTTCCAGGTTTATCAAGACATTTTGCAGGAGAACTTAAGGCCATCTGTCTACCAGCTGAAGCTCAACAGAAGATGGGTGTTGCAACAGGACAATGACCCAAAGCATAGAAGTAACTCAACAACAGAATGGCTTAAACAGAAGAAAATACACCTTCTGAAGTGGCCCAGTCAGAGTCCTGACCTCAACCCAATTGAGATGCTGTGGCATGACCTCAAGAAAGCTATTCACACCAGACATCCCAAGAATATTGCTGAACTGAAACAGTTCTGTAAAGAGGAATGGTTAAGAATTACTTCTGACCGTTGTGCACGTCTGATCTGCAACTACAGGAAACGTTTGGTTGAAGTTATTGCTGCCAAAAGGAGGTTCAATCAGTTATTGAATCCAAGGGTTCACATACTTTTTCCACCTGCACTGTGAATGTTTACATGGTGTGTTCAATAAAAACATGGCAACATTTCATTCTTGTGTTATTAGTTTAAGCAGACTGTGATTGTCTATTGTTGTGACTTAGATGATGATCAGATCACATTTTGTGACCAATTTGTGCAGAAATCCATATCATTCCAAAGGGTTCACATACTTTTTCTTGCAACTGTACCTAAACTGAAAAAAATAAAAATATATTTTCCAGCTGGGATATTTGGACCTAACATGTTCCTTGGTTATTCTCCACAATTTCCTTTTAATTTTAACAATTATCAACATATACGGGTAGCAACTGTCATCATTCACATAATAATAATAAGAACAATAACTATTTTAATTTTGTAATCCATTAATTCAGAATTGCAAAGTGACTATTCTTATTTGCATAACCCTCTAAATATAATAAATTGCTCATGAACTCACCTCTTTCAGACCTTCAAATGTGGCCACCATAATGTTTTCTTCATCTACATGTTTGTTCCAGTCAAGAGTGTAATCAAAATATGATCCAAAACACACTAGCACAAAGAGAAAGTATTTTAGACAAAGTCAAATTAAGGATATTTTCCTTCCGATATAGAAAATCACTAGCCTACTGCACCATCGTGTCTGTAATCAGGGCCGCCACCAGAAATTTTGGGGCCCCTAACTGAGCTCAGGGTCTGGGCCCGCCTCCAAAACCGTCCCCAAATCCCGCCCACAGGAATACACACACAGACACAAACACATTCACTGATACAGGAGGAAGGACACAGATACACACACACACACACTGATACATACTAACAGACACACATACTGATACGCATACATACTGACACACACATACTGAGACATACATACATATAAAGTCACACAGGCGTACATAGTGACAGACATACTAACATACCTTCAGACACAAATGCATAAGGACATACAGACACATTCATAATGACATACATTCATACGGACATCTATACACACATACATACATTCATAATGACATAGACATACATTCATACTGGCATACATACAGACACTGACATTCATACATACACACGTTCATAATGACATGCAGACATACATGCATGCATGCAGACATACAGACATGCATACAGACAGCTCATTTTCCAGCCACCCTCCTGTCTCTTACCTTTTCTTTGCAGGAGGGTGGCTGGGGCTGATAGGACTGGGAGTCGGCTGTCTCTCCCTCTTCACTGCCGGGCGCGCGCTCCTCCCACGCGGAGTGAGCTGGGAGGAAGTGACCGGGCCCCTGCAGATATAGGGCTCATCGGGTGGCCCTAAGTGCGTGGGCCACCCAATGGGCCCCATCAGCGTGCAGGCGCCGATGCAAGCGCACCGGCGGCAATTCCACCACTAAACGTGGGCCCCCAGGGCCGCCGGGCCCGTGACAACCGTTATGGTTGTCACCCCCTGATGGCAGCCCTGTCTGTAATACCCATAGCGAACTATGAAATGTTACAGGGACATTTCCGACTGCAGTCTTCTTAAAGGGATACTATAGTGTTAGGAATACAAACCTGAATTCCTAACACTATAGTTCCCTCTGCCTCTCTCCTCCCTCGCACCCACAGCCAATAATGGGTTAAAAACCCTTTATTTGCCTAATCCCAGTGCCGAAGTGCCTCGGCGCCGGCTCTGCGCTCCGAAGTCATTGAAGGGGGCCTAATGCGCATGCACAAGTAAGTGCATTAGGCCCTCCATATAGGAAAGCATTGAATCAAATGCTTTCTTATTGGGTTTTCACTGACACTGGATGTCCAGCATCAGTTAGGCAACCAAAAGTCACCTAACAAGCAGAAAAACAGAAGAGAAAGTCCCACAGGGCCCTATTCAGGTTGCCAGTTGAAGAGCTTCCCTTCATTCTTAATATAGGAATTGTGATATCTCCTTGGCACCCCAGGTACCTGTGTAATGCTAGGCCCTTGGTGGCCACCTTTGGTTGACTTATGGTTAATCCAACAATGACTCACAACCACATATAGAGGCAGAGAATGTATGAGCCCTCTCAAAAACAGAGGCTATGCGGCTTCTTAAGAAGATGACCTCTATAATTCTGTATGTGTTTATCATTTATTAAATGGGATATATCTGTAAAACTATATTTTATGGTATTTCTTTCAGCAGTGCTGGTTTACACAACATTACCTTTTCCTTCCATATATGCCTTGAAAAACAATTCCCATGTTTCAAATGAAGGAAGGACAGGATTGGTGTTGAAAAAATGATAATATGACGCTGCTGTATCTTTTGGATTACGGAGCATTAATAGAATCTGAAGAAGAGGACAAAGTAAAATGTAAATCTTAATCATGTTCAATCTTTTAGTAACATGTAAAAATTGGAAATTATAAATAATGTGCATTGATTTCCTGTGATTTAACCAAAACAAACGCTTACAGCTCGATAGAGAGTAAAATCTAATATACTTTGGAAGCAACTAGATAGTTTGAGTAGCAATTCTTCACAACTGCTGTTTTAGTGGTATTTGTTCTCTTTTTTTTTTTTTGATGTCCAAAAAATAAATAAATAAATAAATAAATAAATAAATCTTGTGCCAAGAAAGTGTTTATTTGCATTTTTAAGCATTTTCAACCATGGAAGTAGCTCAAAGTGTGTCACTTAGGACTATACTTAAAAATTAAGGAAAAATAGTATAGGTGAGCACGATGGAAAAAGCTGGGGTTAACAACAAACAAAAACAAAAAAAAAACCCTTTAAAACATTACAGTATTGAACAAATAACAGCTTAAATAAGACACATGGAACTGGAGACCTCACCTTCACTTTCTTTTCAAAAAAGGATTTAGGCAAGTGATCATAAAACATATGTGTTGAAAAGACTCTTGGCGAAGGTTGTCCTTTTAGATACTGAAACCAAAAAAACAAAAACAACGGAAGAGTAAGTGGAAATCCTGAGTTTAAACACTTCTCACCTTCATAAATCATTTGAAATCAATTACAATGAATGTAGGATATACAAATATATACAAAAGCAGTTAGGTAATCCGAAGGAATCATGAGAGTAAGCAGTATAGCATATGGAGGCTACCTGTATGTTCCAAATTTTTATTTATTTTTTAAATAGTTTCTCTAACCCTTTTTAATAGAATAATGCCCTATTGGCATTCCGTAGCGCTTTACATTATTATGAGAGGGGGGATTTAACTATAAATAGGACAATTACAAGAAAGCTTACAGGAACGATAGATTGAAGAGGACCCTGCTAAAACGAGCTTATAGTCTATAGGAGGTGGGGTATAAAACATATTAGCACACCAGAAAAACTCACAAAGAGCGTTTTAAACTAAAGTTTACTTCCTTTAATCCAGTGCCCGGCAAAGCAGTTATATCTCTTCCCAGCATGCAGTGAACAGACGTAATTTATTCACAGAATTGACATTAGGCTGCCGAAGTCACGTGTGCTGCAGGTGTAACTTGCTCCCAGCACACAATTAAAAATATCTCTGGGTGTTCAAGCTGAAACCCTGCACATCCATACTCCTACCACCATGAAGTAGTCATAGTGGCTGTGGTAACTCTTTAACATGGCTATTGAGGGAAAGAAAAACAATAGCCATAGTCTTTTTATTCAACAATACATGTGACTGTTTTGTGTGAGATAATTATACACACAAAAATACACATCACAAAATGGTATAGAAACCAAAGGGGGTTTCTGACGAATGACGGAGCTATGTTGGGAAGCTGCATATTTGGTGGTCCTGTCTCAATGATATTTTTAAATTCATTCTAGGTTTTTTGAGATTGCTGAAACTGATCACCATATCAAACTCTGAACAATGCTCCTGCATCGTACAACTTCCCTATTGAAACTATACAAGATGTCGCTTACTAAAACAGATCTAACAAAAAAAGATTGATTAGGCAATGAGCAAATTAACTGCATGCATAAACACTCACTAAAATCACAGGCAAACCAGGCTAAAAATAAATAAATAAAAATATTCTAGAAGGGAAATTAGTCTAGGTCTTGAAATAAAGTTAGCCAAAGTAGGGGGGCACAATATTTTATATGTAATTTAAAGTGAAATTGCTAGAAGTTTTGTATTTTATCTTCCACCTCTAGGGCATCTGACAGCTCCAATCATTAAAAATATTTAAATATGGGGGGGGTTTGACCTATAAGCTGAGTGGACACAACTAACATGAGCTCCAGATGAAGCTCTCCAAGTTAAGCATTTATATCGACTTATACAACACAAAATCAATACCAACTGTAGCAGAGGCACTTTGCATTATCTTGAGGCACATTTGGAGGCGTTTTGTCGCTCGACAGGCAGTCTAACCCTGACACTTCACTGAGGCTTGCAAGCGGAGGGGGAGAGGCGGCCGATCTCCCCGCTGATATTCGTGCGGGAGCCAGTGTAGGCTGTAGGTGTTCCCCCCCACCCCAGCCGGTAGGGGTTATCCCAGCACCTGCTCACTGGCTATTGCCACTCTACAGCAGGAGGGCCTGTGATCGTGCAGGCAGCCAGATTACACAAGACTTACAACCTCGATCCCAGATGGCAGCGCAATATACACCGCTACAATGCAAGACCCGATGGAGTCAATTGAGATGCGGCTGGATAGGATTTTCAATGTTTTCTGGACAACTCACCTCCTGTTACCCTACGTACCAAGTTAGGCCTGACTAAGCAGATGACATCCAAACTCAAGCCTGCAACAAGGGAGTATGCTTGTCAAGGAATACCCCATCACTTGTACTGGTAATATTTCCTTTTAAAAAATGTATTTGAACTTCCTTAGTTCGGCTACCGAATGAGGACAACCCCAGCATCTCATTAGAACGTGGAACACCCGTTAACAAATGCAAAACTACAAAGGAAACAATTAATGAATGCCCTCCTTGGGTGGCCGCCATTTCATGCAACCGAACGCAGGTGGTCGATAGAATGGATGGCAGCCATTTTGTCTCCCGAATTCAGGCAGCGGTACATGGTCGTCGAGTGCCTGGAACTCTTTTCGGCTAGGCACTCGCGCGAACACTGATGAAGATGGAACCGCTGCCCATCCCAGTTCCTGACCAGCTATACGAACAGTGGGGAGTCTATATAAATTGAGAGTGCTTGCCTAAAATAAACAGATTTACTCCCAGCATTCAGTCTCCACCAATGTATGGGGGGAACCTATACCAGCTATAATCACTTTCACTACTGGGTAGAGCCATTTCACACTGGGAAAGAGTCCGTGGCGCAGATGCACTGGCGGGCTGCCACAATGCTGTACCGATCTCCAAATGCCTGCCAAGATACCAGGGTGGCCACTACCTGCCACCGCACTCTCAGGCTGAGAGCACGAGGGGACATAACCCGAAGCTTATCCCACATCACCCGAGAGCGTTTACTCGACATCACCCTCCACTCAGGTCATCACTAGCGGTGCCAAGAGCTACAAGAGTAATGGAAGTCGCAGCTGGGCTCTTATCAATGCCTGGGGCAGGCAGAATGGACATTTCTGGCCCAAATGGAATTGGTCTGGCTGTGGGGGCCAGTGGACAAGCACGGTATCGGGTGAATTCCCTGCATGTAATATTGTGCATTCGGGGGTTAGCTCACACTAAGCCTACCCCCCCCCACGTAGGACTGAAAACCCCTTGCATGGGGACTTGCATATAAGGCCAGTTGTGGGTTCCATTAAACAGTTCTATTTCACCCTCAATCAGCCTTGTGATTGTAGTGAACAACTATACCAGTTATATCACTAGCTCTTGTAAGTGCTATCCTGATAACCCCAAGCTCCAGCAGCCGCTACTATATCTCAAATAGTGCAAAAGTAGTAGAAAAACTTTCAATGTTCTGGACTTCTGCTGGCCATCTACCCCAGAGCCATTCATTACCATATATGGCTGCGAAACCTCTGGTAGACGCAGCATCTGTCCAAATGATTGGTGAATGTTCAGGAAGACACAAGTTTTTCCTATTCCATGTAATTAGGAATCTATGCCACATAAGCAGGTCTGCTGTGGCTTGGGCATCTAGTGTGATTCGACTGTCATCATTAGGAAGGTAAAGAAAAAGACATAGTAATCTACATATGAATGATTGACCTTGAGGAATAATCCTCATTTCAAAATTTAGAGAACCTAATAGTGATTGCAATTCTTTGCGATTGCATGAACCTAAGTGAAGGTATTGCTTAATGCATGCAAGTATGTGGTTTACTTTGTCCTTGGGTAGACTGGCCTGCATGTAAATGGAATCTAGTTGAATACCTAGGAAGTTAATAATGGTGTCTGGACCTTCTGTTTTTCTTTAGGTGATACTGGAACTTCCAATTGTTGAAAAAGGCTAATAGCTTCTCTGAGACTGCTCAGGAGGGGAAAGTTTTATCTTCTATCATAAGATAGTCATCTAAGTAGAGGATGACTGTGGTACATCTGTTATAAAATAAAAATATTGAGGAGTAACCAACATAATGTTTCGGCAAGTATGTCAAAGGTTTTGGGGCTACTTTTAGAACCAAAAGTTAGACGGGAGAAGAAGTAGTATAAGCCTTTCCATTGGATGCCATACAGGTGCCAAAGTGTAGGATGTATTGGTAAGTGTTTAAAGACATTTACTATATCTGTTCTGCTCATATAAGAGAAAGAAGAGGAATGCCGATCTATATGGGGGATGAATAAAAATGTTGTAGGAGATGTGGAATGATATAAAATTAGAAACTGGTAACCTACCGTATACTGAGAGCAGTGAGGCACACAATTAGGCGGTCACATAGAAAATAAGTTGATACCTAGAATCTAACAATGAACACAAAAAACAAATGTGTTGGAATGTAGGATATATAAAATCATGAGGGTCAAAACGTGGACCCTATTTACTGAATATATTAACGTACAAGGGTATGAGCAAATGTTGTCCCGCAAACTGAGAACCTTGTAATGTACTATCTAGAACAAGTGATAGCCTCTAATCCCCAGTAGGACCAGAACTTCCTTGATTATAGATACAGAGTTCAGCAACCAGTAGTCCTATATTAAAATGTAGTAACCGTACTAAAGGTGTAGAGAGCATAGAATATGCTGTGTTGATTTGGTGAGTTAGTATAGAATTGAAATTGTAGGTGACTTAGGAAAATCTAAACTTATTAATATGAGGAAAGGAATACACCAAACGAGTATCTGGAACCATACTGGATTGTAAAAATGAATACAGAAATGACATTGATTTAAGTAAACCATACATAGAGCATTAGCAGATATAATCCTAATACACGTAGTTGAGATACCTATATACGTAATATTATGATGACCAGTTATTCTTTAGCAATGTACATCATACTTCAGTAATTCAGCAATTTAACTTATACTTTTAGAACAACCACTAGACGTCAGTATTTGCGTTCGCATAACCATAATGCATGGTGCAGAATAGTTTTGTATGAATTTGAGAACTGTGTGCTTTAAAATTGTTCGAATTTTGCACTAAACGCTCTATTCGGCCACAGGGCTTTCGTGCTGACTTGGTTACATTTACACGAAAGGGGAGCGTTCGTTGAAAAATAGACAAACGCTTCCCCGACCCAGCAAGCAAAATGCGAAAGCCATTCGTATGAATGGCCAAAACGGAATATGAAGCATATGAAAATACAACTAGAGGTCCCGAAAGCTTGCGAACGAATAGAACGAAACCGTTCGCAAGTTTTAAATGAACCAACATTAATACGAAATAACATACAAAAAGATGTGTGCGAAAGGATTTAAGCAGTGAGATAGATCTGAACCATGGTGACGTGGTGGGACCTCTGACCATGTCTCAATGTTTAGTTCAGTATCTTACGTTTTTGGAGTGTTTCTGGTTCCGTCCTCAGAGAGCTAAAGAGGGGTCAATCCTGTATGTATAGGAAAACAACATATACAGGTAATACCACATAGAAATCATGTAAGTTTGCAAGATAGTGACTTGCATGTGGCCCAGAGTAGCCACATGCAAGAACGGTATGGAGTTCCTTTAAGTAGGGTAATCATACCCCTCCCACATTTAATGCAAAAGCATTAATACACACACACACACACACATAAAAACAATATAACCCTGATATACTGACCTCTACTTTTTCAGGTTTTCCAAATTCAATCATTGCTTGATTAATCGTCACCTCCTTATTTTGCATTGAAAACAGAATTTCATGGAATATCTGGATTACCCAATTTGTTCCTGTACAACAAAACAAAAAAATATAACACGTAAGTTAAATCACTTAAAAACCCTAGATGGGGATATTACAGGCTCCCTAATGTTCACAACAGCAATGTGTATATTTGTGCTAAGTTCGGTTTGCATAGAAACAAATGTGCCAGTACTGCTGTGCACAAACACCTGCCAGGATTGGCATGCTTGGTGAAAATAAATAAATCAGGAGGTAGAGGTGTGTGCATATGACACAATTAGTATCACAAACAAATGCCAACGATCCTAATTTTGCTAGGTCCATCCAACATTTTTGTGTCTTGCCCTTTAAATAAATAGGTCTCTGGGACCTGTGCTGCATTCTGAAGTCTACCCAGAAGTTTATTCTGCCAAGCAGAATGCAGGATCCTAGAGAGGATAGGCCACTTCAGCCATGCACAGAGCATTTCAACTGCACTCTGTGAATGGTTGAAACTAGAAGCCCAGCATATTACCCTCTTAACGAGGAAAATATTTTATGCATATGGCAATGAGTGTGGGGAAACTGTGAGCAAAGCCTTGAAACAGAGGCACCAGAATTAATTTGTTTCTAAAATGATACTCAGAACATTATCACTGTTGTATTGCCAGAGTTCCCCCATCACCATTTATGTAACTTGCCAAAGCCAGCTTGTATACCTCAGACAAGGATGTGTCTACCACGAGGCAAACAAGGCATTTGCCCTGGGTGGCAATTTCCAGTGGGCGGCAAAAAACACCGCCCCCAAATACCCAGGAAAATACCTTGTTTGCCTCGTTTTATGGGAGCCCAAGAACTGGCTAGCTGGCCACCTTTGGGTTCCCCAGGCGGCAAGGGAGCACTTTCCCCTGAGTTCTCTGTCAGTGTAGCGTTACTTACCTTAACCGGGGGCTGGTCGCGGTCCTCTCTTCAAGCCGCGCGCGGTCCTGCGGCTGCACGAGCCGCGCGCGGCTCATCCAACTACTTTGGATGGAAGGCGGGCAGTGACCGCGTGAGGCGGTCACGTGTCCCGCCTGAAACTAAGAGCGCGCCGCGAGTCTCGGGCGCGCTCTTAAAGAGACAGTGGGAGCCTAATTGCCAAAAGACTCCCATTGGCTCCTGTCATACCACACTCCCTGTACAATTACCTATAGGGGGTGTGGAAGTGACAGGAGCCAATCACTTTCGTTTTAAAGCTATTTAAACTTACCTTTTTCCCTTAGCTCGTTGCCCTATCGTGGTTTCTGTTTCAGTTCCCTTTAGCGCTTGTGGTGTTCAGTTGTGTTTTCTCGTATTGACTTTGGCTTCGTATTCTGACTTCGTTTTCGCTTTTTCCTTATCTGTACTGTTTGCCGGCTTGCTGTTTTCCGTGTACCAGACCCCGGCTTGTCCTAGTTTACGCTGTCTCTCTGTGCCCTTGACCTCGGTTTGTTCCTGGCTCTGTCTTCTCTCATATACGTCGAGTCCGGCCATTCTAAGGTCCGGTAGACGTATCTCTCCTCTGTATTTGCCTCTGTTTAGCTGGATCCTGCGTGTAGGGGTATATTCTCGTTACAGTCAGCTCCCTTGCGCAACCCGCAGTAATGCCGGGAGCCGGAATATGACGTCATATTCTGGCTCCCGGCATCACTCCGCAGCACACGAGGGAGCTGAGAGAGCTCAGGGGAAAGTGCTCCCTCGCCGTCTGCACGTCCGGCCACCTCCCTGCCCAGCAGGCCCACTGGACCCCAGGTGAAAAATCCACCCAGCTATCCCAAAATTTTTTAAAAAAAATATTAATAATTGTGAGTGGGGGAAATGTGTGTGTGTGTGTGTGTCAGTGAATTTGAGTGAGAGTGTGCGTCTGTCAGTGAGAGTGTGCATCTGTCAGTGAGTGTCCGAGTAATAGTGCATGTCTGTCTATCAGTGTGTCAAATCAGTGAGTGTGTGTATGTCATTGTTTGTCAGTGTATGCGTCTGTCAGTGAATGTGTGCGTCTGTCAGTCATAGTGCAGCCTTGACAGGAAAGGGCGGCAGCACAAATCCTAAATAGACCACTGACCTCAGATATCATAGACTATGGTAATACTAATATTTACTCAGTGATCTCCCCAGCGATGGTGCTGGATATGCCTTTTACTGAGGAGGAATGGATGATGGCAGTAAAATCCACCCCTGTTGGCAAGAATCCTGGTCCAGACGATTTTTCAACTCGCTATTATAAAACCTGTCTGCCACTTTTAAGTTCACATTTCCTCTGCACTTCACTAATGTTTCTCCCAAGATGCCCATTGCACCACCAACATTAAGTGCCTTTTTATTGCGATTATTCCTAAACCTGGGAAAGATTTAATGGTATGTGGTTGTTACAGACCCATCTCACTAATCAACACAGACTTGACATTATTTGCAAAAATGATAGCCCTTCGCCGCAAGCCCCTATTGCCTGGAATTCTCTACTTTTATCAGGCTGGGTTTGCGATAGATAAGGAAGCTTGTGACAACACAATGATCAAATTATGGAGTGTACTCGGGTTTTGGGTAATAGACCACCAACGACCTTAAAGATGTTTAGCTTGAACCAATTTACTCATTTTATATGTACCTCAGTGCTTCCTTTTTGGCAACCCAATAAGGAAGCACTGAGGTACGTATAAAACATTCGCATACCTGGAGTATCTGTGAATAGACAGTTATCTCACTTCTATATACATTCTCTCATCCCTTCTATATACATTCTACCTGAATCTAGCAGTGCTGGATATGCTCTTTAGCTGTTGGTACTATGGAACGCAATTGGTGGTCTTGTACTGCCATACAACCATTTCAGCAGGAGATCATTAACCGCTTAAGGTAGTGGTTCTGTTGTCTCTAGCCTCTCCCTGCCATCTTTTTAATGTACATTGGTGCCTAGTAACACCTGTAGTGGAAGTCATTCAGGCAGCCACAAGAGGTGCTTCCTAGTCCAATATACAGCACTGGCCTTCATGGTCTCCACACTCTGCATGGAGGCACTGACCGTTCTTTACAGAGATGCATTGTTTCATTTTTCCTATGGGAAAGCATTGGATTAACATAAATCAAGGATGATCTCAGCCATGGAGGTAGAACCAGGTGGGGCCAGACGCAGTGAGATTAGCACTATAGTGTCAGAAATAATTGTTCCTGACACTATAGTGTTTAATTTTGCCAAAGGTCTCTTCCATACCTCTCAAACCATCTCACTGTCATAAACACTCTTGGGAGGCCGTAGAGTCTTTACAAAGATGCCCAGAAACTCCACTGTGGTTGCAATTGGGGACAGCTTGTAGATTGATTCACTTATATTGGAAGCTGACCCACGTCCCCTCCCTGAAACAATCTGAATAAAAGGTAGTAGCCCAATGAACTTTAAAGGATATACATTAGTCTGCTGAGGAACAAAAAGACAGATATAGTTAAGGATTTGGGGCCTTTATTATTAAGCCTCCATGTCATGAAATCATGACTCCTTACCCTTGACTGCTCTCCCATGCAATAGCCTGCATTACACTATACACATTTTTTGAGAATGTATGCACAAATAACTTATAAACTAAAATACACTATGTACATGATAGTATAGCTAGGACCTCGACTCAAATGTCCTATTTACAAGAGTATTGACCACATTTTCCTTAGTTGCCTGCTGGAATTATTTCCCTTTCTTTTTTAGTCATCTGTTATTAATGAAGTTATTTCAATAGATCTACAATTTATGTATACTACTATTTTATTACAAGTCTGTATACATCTCTCGCATTCTATTATGCTATACGAAGAACTGGACTGTCAGTGAGGCCAGCTCTCAAAGTACTAGAGATGCAGGCCATTGTACGTCAGAGCATTTTAAGTCTCCATAGGTCTCACATCATGCATGCACGTTCAGGGATCACATGATTTGTAACAGACGTTCTTAGGCTATTTAAACATTTTTTGTATTTTCTTTAGTGCCTTGTCGTGGTTTCCATTTTGGTTATCTGAGAGCACTTTTTTTCTATTAATTCCTGTGTAATTTGACCTTTGGCTTGTCTAGCCTTTTACATACACACTGTTCCCCTGACCTCGTCCTTTCATTATTAATGTTAAATCCGGACATTCTAGGGTCCGGTAATACGCTTTAGGGTTTCTTTGTTTTATTATTCTGTTACTTAAGTTCTGCGTGTTGGGCATTAAGATTATTCTGACATCTCCTCAGAAATTAAGCAATTTATATATGTAATGAGGCCCTAGGGCAGCATGTCAAACTCAAGGGCTAGCACGGGCCACATAAACAAGGTTTAAGTTTACGTGGGCCGCAAAAAAACAAAACCTTACATTCTCAGAGTGGACATATTTAGGTCACTTTGCATTTCTTCTAAAAAAAAAAAAAAAACAATATTAGCCAACAAACAGACTCCACTCACAGTGCCGCTGTCAATATGCGACTCCGGAGTCCAGCCTCTGATATACCCCAATGGCGCTGTCCGCATCCTGTGCCAAACAGATCCTCCCCTACTCCTTGAAAACCTGTGAAGATGGAGCACGTTGATGTTACGTCAGAATGTGACGTGACGTGGCATTGAGTGCCTCCGTGCACCTCCAGGTTCTCCACTGTTCAGCCGCGCCCATCGCAACACTGACCAACACTCACTGACAGGAACAAACACCAACATCATTTGATTTATTGCTCCCTACCTTTGTGAGCTAGTGTGGGGCCTCTCCCTGATCTTCTCTCAGGAGCTCAGTCTTCCTGCTCCCTCACGCGCGCAGTTTAGTGGTGCCAGAATGACGTCATCACTACAAACGGCAAGTGCGAGGGAGCAGTGAGGCGCAGGTAGACTGAATTCCCTTGCTGCCACCGGGGACCTCTCCTCCCCAGCCAGGTAAATTTGGCAGAGTAGGCATCTGCAATGTGGTGAGAGCAGGTGCCTACTCTGCTTTAGTAAGCATGGCAAACTCGCGGGTCGCCGGGACACAAAAATATTCATTGTGGGCTGCGAGTTTGACATGCTTGCCCTAGGGGGTTAAGTGCTAAACAAATAATACCATAAACACATGCTTGTGAAAAACACGCTATCCTTCCTTTGTGTTCTCCTCAACAAACACTAAAAAGACAACCAAACAAATACATGTCAGGAGGAGAACTCAAAAAGTTACCACTCATGTCCACCTGAAAAACACTTACAATTTTATAACTGACAAAAAGGTTAAGGCCAGTGACAAAGGATAAGGTGAGGCCTGATAGGAAGCAGTTGTTGTTGGGGGATTCTATCATAAGAGCTGGACAATAGTGGCCTTGTTAGAGGTCTTCCTGGAGCTACTGCTAACAGACAGGAGACTTATTTGTAATATTGTTAAGCAAGCAAAGCAGGAAGGGAATTGGACGTACTTGTCCATCTAGGGACAAATTACTTGGCTTCCAATGAAGTTTCAGAGGTAAAGGAAGTTTTTTGTGTTTTTGCCAATGATCTACGGCAGGCTGCTTCCACACGGTCATTCTCTGAAGTTCGGCCTGTGCATCAGTGGTGTATCCTGGTTTTGCGCTGCCCTAGGCATGACAGAACTCAGAAGCCCCGCCCCGCCCCGCCTTCTAAATACACAGACACGCATATACTAGCTAACAGACATACACACTCACTAGCAGACACACACATTCACTAACAGACACGCATAGACTCTCACTAACAGATAACCCCCCTAGCCTCCTTACCTTCAATATTACCTGCAATATTCCGGCTCCTGGCATTACTCGGCGGCGCGCAAGGGAGCTGAGCAGACAGCTCAGGGTAAAGTGCTCCCTCGCCAGCGCCGCCCGACTGGATTTTTAGTTAGCCGCAAGGCTAACAAGACATTTGCCCTGGGCATTTGGAGGCGGCTTTTTTTGCCGCCCCCTGGAAACTGCCGCCCAAGGCAAATGCCTAGTTAGTGCGGTGAACATGGAGTCCGTTTGGGTTATGTTAGAATTTGGTAATCACACAGTAACTCGTGTAGGTGTGATTTATAGGCCCCAGGGACAAATAGAAGAGCTAGATAATCTACTAGTTGAGGAAATAGCTAAAATGACAATGAAGGGGGAAGTTATCATCATGGTTGACTTTAATCTTCCTTATGTAAATTGGAAAAACAAAATCGCTGCTTGTGCCAGGAGCACACATATTCTAAACTCCCTACTGGGATTGTCTCTTAAAGGACCACTATAGTGCCAGGAAAACCATACTCGTTTTCCTGGCACTATAGTGCCCTGAGGGTGCAGCCACCCTCAGGGACCCCCTCACGCTGGGCTCTGGGGAGAGGAAGGGGTTAAAATCTTACCTTTCTCCAGCGCCGGGCGGGGAGCTCTCCTCCTCCTCTCCTCCTCTTCAGCTGAATGCGCATACACGGCAGGAGCTGCGCGCACATTCAGCCAGTCTCATAGGAAAGCATTCATAATTATTATTATTAATAACGTTAAATCCGGACATTCTAGGGTCCGGTTATACGCTTTAGGGTTTCTTTGTTTTATTATTCTGTTACTTAAGTTCTGCGTGTTGGGCATTAAGATTATTCATAATGCTTTCCTATGGACGCTGGCGTCTTCTCACTGATTTTCACAGTGAGAAGCACGCAAGCGCAGACAGTGAGACAGCCACTAGAGGCTGGATTAACCTATTTATAAACATAGCAGTTTCTTTGAAACTGCTATGTTTGTTAAAAAAAAGGCTTAACCCTAGCTGGACCTGGCACCCAGACCACTTCATTAAGCTGAAGTGGTCTGGGTGCATATAGTGGTCCTTTAAACAAGTTGTTGAGAAACTAATTTGTAAAGAGAAACAAATAAAGTACAGCTCGCTATGGTATACTAAAAGAGAGGGAGGTAACCCCTAGTGGAATCAAAAGAAAAAATGTGGAAATAGTATACCCGTATTGAGGTGCTAGGAACCTATGGAGAGTACCAACGGGAGGCTGAACATACAAATCAGAAAACAAAAAATAATTAAATTTGTTTAAAAATTGCCAATCACCCAAGTGTAACACACAAACTAAATAAAGTATAAAAATCAAAAATAAAATAAATAATAAAAAGAAAAGAAAAAGAAACTAGCTTGATAACTGAAGATTGAAAAAAGTTCTAACGTTGCACTCTGTTGATTCTCTGTTAAAGCTCACGTCTGTGCTAAACAGGAGTATATGATAGACATAAAGTATAGAAGGGGGAAGGATAACATACCCTGAGGTGTAAAGGATAAAAATCCTATGTATAGATAACAAATGAATTGCCTCGATAGAAGGAGCCTTAATAGAAGGTGTGAGCAGGCTCAGTAAATGAATGGTAACATATAACCATTCATCGGTAACTGTTACCAAATTGGTTGCCCTGTAATTTTGCTGTATATTAAACTGGCAGTGAATTACTATGTAACACAGGGAAGTTTAGAACCAAAAGGTTAGCATGTAAAATTCCATAGAAATAGATTATACAGGTGGTACAGATAGTATACCTGGATGTTATAATCTCTTTTTAGAATGGCTAAAAAAGATAGAATAAATGTTGAGAGGATTCTAGGTTGTGATAAACTACTAGTGTGTTATGCTCACAGGGTGGTAAGTGGAGAAAGAGGAGAATGATGGGAGCTCAAAATGGAAAACAACCCTGTGCCTTCAAGGGCACCTAAAACCAACCCCCCTGATAGAATAGGTTATTGTATAAAGAGGGGAAAACAATCCGCAAAAAAAAAAAAAATAATAATTCCTGTTAGTAAACGGACCAAATAACCTCCCCGTGCCTTCAAGGGCACCTAGGTCCAACCCCCCTAATTAATTGTGTCAAAAGAGTAGAGTGCAATCATAGAAACGAAGTATCAAATTGATGTTGCAAGCTGCATGATAATTCCCTTGACGCGCACGTTTCACCCGACCAGGCTCGTCAGAAGGGAACCGGTCGGTGTGAAACACTCGGTTTAAAAGAGAGCAGATAGCTCATAATTGGTCAGAAAAGAATGCTTCTGATTGGTGAATAGCTTAACGTCATGGAACTAGATACGCCCAATTCATGACGTCCAGAAAGGGGATAGTGTCAACCCCTACACTCCCAGACAAAGAGAGAGATAATAGCAAAGATTTTTTATATATTACAACGGAAGAAACTGAATTACAGCAGTGAGAACTATCACTGCTGGTGTGGATGAGTGTAACACAGTTAATAGCAGAGGATGATGGCAACAATGTATTTACACGAAAAGAACTAAATTAAAGCAGTGGGAGATTCCCCTGCTGGTGTGAACGAATATAACGTAATGAAGACTCTAAATGTATAGTGATAGTGTCAAATAAAAGGAGAAATGTAAATTAATACTGTCAAAATAAGAGATATTAAGAATGCTATATACTGTCGCAAATAAAAAGTAAAAATATATAATTGTCTAAAAATAATATGTAAACAAATTAGAGTAGCTAAAGATCAAGTCTGAGTGGAAACTTTATTTATTATGATAAGAAGAAAGGATATTTTTTGATATAAAACAAAGTGAGATGACTTAGGAAGGCTAGATGGAATCAATTTATTAAAATAATAATGGTGCAAAGATAGAAAATTAGTAGGGATATGTACCATAAAAATATACCTGGGTTGGTGGGAGGAAACGATGTGGAACCTACCATTAAAGATACATATCAGTCCTATATCTATAATTGGCATAGATACATCGATGATATTTTGTTTTTTTGGTTGGGCTAGTTACCCAATTTGAAGAAATGGTTAAATTACTCAATGACAACACCATCGGTCTCAAATTGACGCATGTAATTGATGATGAACAACTTGTGTTCTTAGATCACAAAATTAAGATTTTACTTGATGGAACCATTGAAACAGAATTGTACTATAGAATTGTATTATACTCCTGTTTAGCACAGACGTGAGCTTTAACAGAGAATCAACAGAGTGCAACGTTAGAACTTTTTTCAATCTTCAGTTATCAAGCTAGTTTCTTTTTCTTTTATTTATTTTATTTTTACACCTTATTTAGTTTGTGTGTAACACTTGGGTGATTGCCAATTTTTTGGCAATTTTTAAACAAATGTAATAAATTCTTTTTTGTTTTCTGATTTGTATGTTCAGCCTCCCGTTGGTACTCTCTATAGGTTCCTAGCACCTCAATACGGGTATACTATTTCCACATTGTTTCTTTTAATTTGTAAAGAGGTCACATTAAATTTAGTGTTAACAAATGGAGATTTGGTATCAGATATTACTGTAGGTGAAAGTTTAGGATCCAGTGATCATCAGTCAGTGTGGTTTAATATAAGAACAGTGTCTGAGTCACACCACACAAAAACAAAAGTTTTAGACTTTAGAAAAACAGACTTTTCTAAAATTAGAATATGTGTAAAATGAGTCATTATCAGACCGGAGCAGTTTAAATGGAGTCCAAGAGAAATGGGATTATTTAAAAGTTGCACTGCTGAAGGCAACAGAAAATTGCATTAGGCTTGTCAGTAAAAGCAAAAAATTCAAGAAACCACTGTGGTACCCCGCAGATGTGGCCAAAATAGTTAAAAACAAAAAGTTAGCATTTAGGAATTATAAAAAAAACCAGAGTGAGGGAGACAAAATGATCTATAAGATTAGGCAGAAAGAGGCTAAGCAAGTTATAAAAGCTTCCAAATCACACACAGAAGAGAAAATAGCACAGTCAGTAAAAAAGGGGGATAAAACATTTTTTAGATACATAAATGAGAAAAGAAAAGTAAAACAAGGATTAGTTAGATTAAAAACAAAAGAAGGAAGGTATGTAGAAGAGGATAAAGGTCTAGCTGACTGCCTAAATGAATATTTTTGTTCAGTATTTACAGATGAAAATGAAGGAAAGGGACCTCAGTTAGGAAAAAGGACAAATGAGTCATTTGTTTCATGTGAGTTTACAGAGGAAGAGGTTCTACTTCAACTGTCAAAAGTAAAGACAAATAAGTCAATGGGACCTGATGGAATACACCCAAAGTTATTAAAAGAGCTTAGTGGTGTACTAGGAAAACCATTAACAGGTTTATTTCACCAATCCTTGTTAACAGGAGTAGTCCCAGAAGATTGGAAGTTAGCAAATGTTGTGCCCATTCACAAGAAAGGTAGTAGGGAGGAGTCAGGCAACTATCGGCCAGTAAGCCTTACTTCAGTAGTGGGGAAAGTAATGGAAACCGTGTTAAAGGACCACTATAGTGCCAGGAAAACATACTCGTTTTCCTGGCACTATAGTGCCCTGAGGGTGCCCCCACCCTCAGGGACCCCCTCCCGCCCGGCTCTGGAAGGGGAAAGGGGTAAAAACTTACCTTTTTCCAGCGCTGGGCGGAGAGCTCTCCTCCTTCTCTCCTCCTCCGTTCCGCCCCGTCGGCTGAATGCGCACGCGCGGCAAGAGCTGCGCGCGCATTCAGCTGGTCGCATAGGAAAGCATTTACAATACTTTCCTATGGACGCTTGCGTGCTCTCACTGTGAAAATCACAGTGAGAAGCACGCAAGCGCCTCTAGTGGCTGTCAATGAGACAGCCACTAGAGGCTTTGGGGGAAGGCTTAACCCATTAATAAACATAGCAGTTTCTCTGAAACTGCTATGTTTATAAAAAAAAATGGGTTAACCCTAGATGGACCTGGCACCCAGACCACTTCATTAAGCTGAAGTGGTCTGGGTGCCTAGAGTGGTCCTTTTAAAGGATAGGATTTTGTTGAACATCTAAAATCACATGGATTTCAAGATCAGAGACAACATGGGTTTACTTCAGGGATGTCATTCTAAACTAAACTTGTTGATTTTTTTGATTGTGTAACTAAAATAATAGATCATGGTGGTGCAGTAGACATTGCTTACCTAGATTTCAGTAAGGCTTTTGACACTGTTGCACATAGAAGGCTTATGAATAAACTGCAATCTCTGAGTTTGGATTCAATATTGTTGAATGGGTAAGGCAGTGGCTGAGTGACAGGCAACAGAGGGTTATTGTCAATGGAGAATATTCTAAGCATTGTCTTGTTACCAGTGGGGTACCTCATGGATCTGTAGTTGGACCCATTCTCTTTAATATTTTTAATCGTGATATTTCAGAAGGTCTTGCTGGTAAGGAATGTCAAGTTGCTGATGATACTAAGATATGTAACAGGGTTGACGTTGCAGGAGGGATAAGCCAAATGGCAAATGATTTAGGTTAGGGGTAGTCAACCTTTTAATACCTACCGCCCACTTTTGTTTCTTTGTTGACAGTAAAATGTCCTTACCACCCAACAGTGCCGCAGTAACTAATTTTATAGCGCAAGTGCAATTTTTTATAGATCTTTTATTAATTTTCTTTCTACTTTTTTTCCAGTGTGTGTATGGGAGGTACTGTGTGTGTGTGTGTGTGTGTGTGTGTGAAGGGTGTAGTATGTGTAAAGAGTTGCTGTGCATGTGTAAGTGGTGCTGTGCTTGTGTGAGGGACAGTAAGTTTGAGAGGGGGCAGTGTGTATGTGAAGGATGCATGGGGTCTATGCTGTGTGTAGGTGGGTGATATGTGAAAATCTATCTTAATGTTTCCCCCTCCCTTCTTCTACCTTTTACCAGGGGGTGGGGGGGGTGCATAATGCTGTAAGCCCTGGTGGTCCAGTGGTGGCATGACTCTCTACTGTCCTACTGCGAGCACAGCACTGTATCGAAACATTGCCATTATAACGCGCAGAAACACTCCGACCAGCCTGCTCACGGGAGGAACACAGAGCCTTCCAGGCCCTTCCCTCCCTCTGCTGGAACTAAGTGCCAGCTGGTCATTGAGGGAAGTCTTTGATGTCCTCAGCAACCTGAGAGGGCTTACTGCAAGGCCGGCAGAGAAGATAAAAGGCAATCAACGGCCATCGAGGTTCACTGGGCGTTTTCTGCAGAACCCACCACCACCCACCTGAAATCCCAAACCGCCCACTAGGCGGTAGGGACCAGGTTGACTACCCCTGATTTAGGCAAACTAGAAAAATGGTCAGAGATGTGGCAACAGACATTTAATGTGGATAAGTGCAAAATAATGCATCTTGGGTGTAAAGACCCAAGGGCAGAGTATAGAATATTTGATAGAGTCCTAACCTCAACATCTGAGGAGAAGGATTTAGGGGTAATGGTTTTCTGATGACTTAAATGTAATAGAGCTGCAGGAAATGCTAGCAGAATGCTTGGTTGTATAGGAAGAGGTATTAGCAGTAGAAAGAGGTACGTGCTCATGCCATTGTACAGAACACTGGTGAGACCTCACTTGGAGTATTGTACGCTGTACTGGAGACCGTATCTCCAGAAGAATATTGATACTTTAGAGAGAGTTCAGAGAAGGGCTACTACACTGGTTTGTGGATTACAGGATAAAACTTACAAGGAAAGGTTAAAGGATCTTAACATGTATAGCTATAGCTTGGAGGAAAGACGAGACAGGGGGATATGATAGAAACATTTAAATACATAAAGGGGATCAACACAGTAAAGGAGGAGACTATATTTAAAAGAAGAAAAGCTACCAGAACAAGAGGACAGTCTTAAATTAGAGGGGCAAATGTTTAAAAATAATATCAGGAAGTATTACTTTACTGAGAGGGTAGTGGATACATGGAATAGCCTTCCAGCTGAAGTGGTAGAGGTTAACACAGTAAAGGAGTTTAAGCATGCATGGGATAGGCATAAGGCTATCCTAACTATAAGATAAGGCCAGGGACTAATGAAAGTATTTAGAAAATTGGGCAGTCTAGATGGGCCGAATGGTTTTTATCTGCCGTCACATTCTATGTTTCTATGTATAGTTTCTCTCTGCAATGGCACAAGGGAATTAAACTTTTTTTGAGACCTGAGTGGAAACAAAACAAAGGACAAGCTATTGAGTTTTCTGAGCTTTTGCCCATTCTCAGTTTTCATATTCTGAGTCCACCCCCAAACCAGAATTCAAGACCAAGAAAAACTATTATGGGTGTATACTTATTGAATAGCCCCCTCACTTCTGTCACCATATATAAGAAAGTGAAGTACCTGCCCACTTCCAAGTTTGCTGTTCCAAGGAATTCAAAGTCATATCAAATATGATCTGCAGGTCAGCTAAGTTTTCAGTTTAGCTATTTTGGCCTAAAATGTGAGTCACTTTGAATTTCCCACAATTCACACTTTAGTGAATTTTGTGACCCCCACATCCTACTTGTCTCTACAGAACATATAGAAGGATTTGACATTACCCCAAGTTAATGTGTTAAAACCTGTACCTGAAAAATAGGCTCCTCTAAGTCAGTGGCGGATCCAGGGAGAGGCGGGGGAGGGCAACGCCCCCGGGAGCCGATGCTCTCCACTGCAGTGTCGGCGCTATGCAAGCGCCGGCCCTGTTGGGTGTCTTCACGAACCAGAGATCTCGCTCACTGGTCCAAAGAGGAGACCCGTGAGCTCTAGCTTGCAGCTCTGCCATGGCAACTCTCCATTCTCGCGAGAGTGAACTCTAAACTCAGGAGATGCAGGCTAGAGTTCACTCCCCACTGTGAGTTCTAGCTTGCAGCTCCGCCAGGTCTCCTCTTGGAGCATGGAGCATTGCTGCGGTTACCATGGCAACTCTCCATTCTTGCGAGAGTGAACTCTAAACTCAGGAGATGCAGGTTAGAGTTCACTCCCCACTAGAACCGCCAGGGATTCTTCACCAGACCACCAGGGCTTCACAATTGATATCCCCCCCTCCCTGGGCAAAGGTAAGAAGGGAGGGGGGATGTAAAGAACATTATTTTTAATCAGAAAACAAAATAATTTGTTTTATCTGCCCCCTCCCCAACTACACACGCACTGCCCCCACAGCCCCCCATATACACACACTGACTAACAGACAAACACATAGTAACACACTGACACACACTCACTAACAGACACACTTCCCCAACTGCACTCCCACATACACACACATTACTCCCACTGCACCCCATATATACACACTGTACTCCCATGTACACACACACTACACCCCTCACACAAAACACACACACTGCCCCTCCTACACACAATGCACCCCCATACACATTCACACACTGCCTCCAATACCCAACCTGCATCCCTCACTGCCTACTCACACATTAGTAGAGGCCCTATGTACTACAGCCCCTATCCTGGCAGACCCCAGGTACATTGTCAAACTGTTCTTAAATAGATTCGCCACTGCTCTAAGTTGAATTTCAGCATTCTTGTATCTTACATAAAACACTCCAAGCAGCATAACCACGTCAGGCTTGCTGTGTCCAGGCATCCCTCTCAATGTAAGGAGTCAAACTGGTTTTGAATAATTTGACTTCTTACCTGTGTCTGCCATGCACAGCTCCCTCCCTGACTTGATTAAAGAATAGGCAAATAGGCTACCAGCCAATAACACACATATATATATCTTACTGTTTATCCATAGTGTTCTAGAAATATAGACACAGGCAAACTTTTCATTCCCAGGAAAATACATATTTCCAACTTCGAACCTGCAAACTGGTGAAACCAGCACATACATTGAGCTGTGTTGTTTTCTTTTTTTTGGAATTTAAACAGAATTTAACTACTTCAAGGTCAATCAGGGCTACCACACTAACATGCTATTTTACCAACTCTGGTTCTCAATGAAGTTAAGGGGTTTTTTTTCAGCCCCATTCATTAAAAAAGGACCTTTCAGGTCTGTGATTGCATAGCGGAAATTGCCTAGCCTCCTGTCACTAGGGGGTTAATATAATTGCCTTAAAAAGCTGTGCTAGCAAATTTCTAATTTTCTGGGTCACAACACAATTGCTGTGGTTTGATAATTCTCTAATTAAATAGCAAGCTAATTATTAGTGTGATTTGAAAAACCTAAACTGGCCTGATCACTTCCTGGTAATGGGAACTCTACCATCCACCAAATCAAGGTCAATAAAATGACTACAACTCATAGAACATACTTAGAATCCAGTGACAGCTAAATCCTGTTATACAATGTATCTACATACAATCCCTATTTAAAGGATTCCACGACAGGCTTCACACGAACTACTGCTAAGTGACAATGCAGTAAAACCAGGCATTTGGGGGGGGTGTTACAAACACTTACCACATTTGGGATATGTCACAATTATCAGATCATCCTCTCTGGCTTCCAAAGATTCCAAGGCTTGAAAGGTCTCAATACTGCATATGGTATTCGGGTACAGGACCCCTTTATAGTTGAGCACTAGCTCTTCTGGAGTTTTCTTGCTAGCCTCTGCTGCAACTTTCTGCATTTCTGCCAGGAATTTCTCCCGTTTTGTTTTTGCTTCCGTCTCAGACATCTTGCTGTATGTAGAGGAGTAAGCAGTGTTCGATCTCTTACCAGTGCTGTGTTTATGAATGTGTAAAATGGGTGTGCCATAGAGTGTGTGGAGTCAGGATAAAGTTTGTGATGTCCCTCCCATAGATGCAATTCACTAATTCACAGAGAGCCAACAGTGACCTTAACAGAGTAATGCTTGCATTAATCCATACAGTACGCAAGTTTTTTTTTTTTGTTTTTTTTTAGTATTTAGTATTACAAAGCAGTTGCAACAGTTGAAAGGAAACTAAAAACATAGAATTAACCCCTTAATGACACAGATTCAGAGGCTGAACATACACTTAAGGACACAAACAATTTTTGCTGTTTTTGTTCACGTGCGATTTGCATCTCTCACAATTAATATACAGTTTTTAGAGGACAAAAAGGGTTTTAATTCGGCTCCACATATACATATATAATTTCTTATTAATTATAAAAAAAAATAAAAAAATGTGGGGGTGGGGGGATTTTTCAGTTTATGAAATAATGACATGTGCATAATGTTTCCAGCTTAGGAAAAGTAATTCAACATAAATTAATCTATGTGTCTTGATTCATAGAGTACATAATATGTGTAGGTTTTCAGCTTATTTTGAAAGTTTGTCACAAAATACAAGGACTAAAATAAAATTTCAATGTGAAACAATTTTAGAAGTTGGTATGTTTGTCTTGTAAGTTTAGTAGCCATCACAAAAAACAACATTGCCACACAAGTGTATATTTAGACAGTATCTCACAAAAAAAAAAAACCCTCACATTTCTGTAAATATTTTATATCTTTTCATGTGACAACGCTAAAGAAATGACACTCTGCTACAATGTATAGTAGTAAGTGTACAGCCTGTATAACAGGGTAAACTGATTGGTGAATAGCTTAATGTCATGGAACTAGATACGCCCAATTCATGACGTCCAGAGAGGGGATAGTGTCAACCCCTACACTCCCAGACAAAGAGAGAGATAATAGCAAAGATTTTTTATATATTACAACGGAAGGAACTGAATTACAGCAGTGAGAACTATCACTGCTGGTGTGGATGAGTGTAACACAGTTAATAGCAGAGGATGATGTAGGTATTACTGTAGGTTTAAAGTTTAGGATCCAGTAATCATCAGTGTGGTTTAATATAAGAACGGTGTCTGAGTCACACCACACAAAAACAAAGTTTTAGACTTTAGAAAAACAGACTTTTCTAAAATTAGAATATGTGTAAAATGAGTCATTATCAGACCGGAGCAGTTTAAATGGAGTCCAAGAGAAATGGGATTATTTAAAAGTTGCACCGCTGAAGGCAACAGAAAATTGCATTAGGCTTGTCATGAAAAGCAAAAAATTCAAGAAACTATTGTGGTACCCCGCAGATGTGGCCAAAATAGTAAAAAAAAAGAGAGAGAGAGAGAGTGTGAAGATAGACAGATCTATAAGATTAGGCAGAAAAAGGCTAAGCAAATTATAAGAGCTTCCAAATCTCACACAGAAGAGAAAATAGCACAGTCAGTAAAAATAAAAAAATAAAAGGGGACAAAACATTTCTTAGATACATAAAAAGGAAAGTAAAACAAGGATTAGTTAGATTAAAAACAAAAGAAGGAAGGTATGTAGAAGAGGATAAAGGTCTAGCTGACTGCCTAAATGAATATTTTTGTTCAGTATTTACAGATGAAAATGAAGGAAAGGGACCTCAGTTAGGAAAAAGGACAAATGAGTCATTTGTTTCATGTGAGTTTACAGAGGAAGAGGTTCTACTTCAACTGTCAAAAGTAAAGACAAATAAGTCAATGGGGCCTGATGGAATACACCCAAAGTTATTAAAAGAGCTTAGTGGTGTACTAGCAAAACCATTAACAGGTTTATTTCACCAATCCTTGTTAACAGGAGTAGTCCCAGAAGATTGGAAGTTAGCAAATGTTGTGCCCATTCACAAGAAAGGTAGTAGGGAGGAGTCAGGCAACTATAGGCCAGTAAGCCTTACTTCAGTAGTGGGGAAAGTAATGGAAACCGTGTTAAAGGACCACTATAGTGCCAGGAAAACATACTCGTTTTCCTGGCACTATAGTGCCCTGAGGGTGCCCCCACCCTCAGGGACCCCCTCCCGCCCGGCTCTGGAAGGGGGAAAGGGGTAAAAACTTACCTTTTTCCAGCGCTGGACGGGGAGCTCTCCTCCTTCTCTCCTCCGTTCCTCCTCCTGGGCTGAATGCGCACGCGCGGCAAGAACTGCGCGCGCATTCAGCCAGTCGCATAGGAAAGCATTTACAATGAGACAGCCACTAGAGGCTTTGGGGGAAGGCTTAACCCATTAATAAACATAGCAGTTTCTCTGAAACTGCTATGTTTATAAAAAAAAATGGGTTAACCCTAGATGGACCTGGCACCCAGACCACTTCATTAAGCTGAAGTGGTCTGGGTGCCTAGAGTGGTCCTTTTAAAGGATAGGATTTTGTTGAACATCTAAAATCACATGGATTTCAAGATCAGAGACAACATGGGTTTACTTCAGGGATGTCATTCTAAACTAAACTTGTTGATTTTTTTGATTGTGTAACTAAAATAATAGATCATGGTGGTGCAGTAGACATTGCTTACCTAGATTTCAGTAAGGCTTTTGACACTGTTGCACATAGAAGGCTTATGAATAAACTGCAATCTCTGAGTTTGGATTCAATATTGTTGAATGGGTAAGGCAGTGGCTGAGTGACAGGCAACAGAGGGTTATTGTCAATGGAGAATATTCTAAGCATTGTCTTGTTACCAGTGGGGTACCTCATGGATCTGTAGTTGGACCCATTCTCTTTAATATTTTTAATCGTGATATTTCAGAAGGTCTTGCTGGTAAGGAATGTCAAGTTGCTGATGATACTAAGATATGTAACAGGGTTGACGTTGCAGGAGGGATAAGCCAAATGGCAAATGATTTAGGTTAGGGGAAGTCAACCTTTTAATACCTACCGCCCACTTTTGTATCTCTGTTGACAGTAAAATGTCCTTACCACCCAACAGTGCCGCAGTAACTAATTTTATAGCGCAAGTGCAATTTTTTATAGATCTTTTATTAATTTTCTTTCTACTTTTTTTTCAGTGTGTGTATGGGAGGTACTGTGTGTGTGTGTGTGTGTGTGAAGGGTGTAGTATGTGTAAAGAGTTGCTGTGCATGTGTAAGGGGTGCTGTGCTTGTGTGAGGGGCAGTAAGTTTGAGAGGGGCAGTGTGTATGTGAAGGATGCATGGGGTCTATGCTGTGTGTAGGTGGGTGATATGTGAAAATCTATCTTAATGTTTCCCCCTCCCTTCTTCTACCTTTTACCGGGGGGTGGGGGGGTGCATAATGCTGTAAGCCCTGGTGGTCCAGTGGTGGCATGACTCTCTACTGTCCTACTGCGAGCACAGCACTGTATCGAAACATTGCCATTATAACGCGCAGAAACACTCCGACCAGCCTGCTCACGAGAGGAACACAGAGCCTTCCAGGCCCTTCCCTCCCTCTGCTGGAACTAAGTGCCAGCTGGTCATTGAGGGAAGTCTTTGATGTCCTCAGCAGCCTGAGAGGGCTTACTGCAAGCCGGCTCTGCATGGGTCGGCAGAGAAGATAAAAGGCAATCAACGGCCATCGAGGTCCACTGGGCATTTTCTGCAGAACCCACCACCACCCACCTGAAATCCCAAACCGCCCACTAGGCGGTAGGGACCAGGTTGACTACCCCTGATTTAGGCAAACTAGAAAAATGGTCAGAGATGTGGCAACAGACATTTAATGTGGATAAGTGCAAAATAATGCATCTTGGGTGTAAAGACCCAAGGGCAGAGTATAGAATATTTGATAGAGTCCTAACCTCAACATCTGAGGAAAAGGATTTAGGGGTAATGGTTTTCTGATGACTTAAATGTAATAGAGCTGCAGGAAATGCTAGCAGAATGCCTGGTTGTATAGGAAGAGGTATTAGCAGTAGAAAGAGGTAAGTGCTCATGCCATTGTACAGAACACTGGTGAGACCTCACTTGGAGTATTGTACGCTGTACTGGAGACCATATCTCCAGAAGGATATTGATACTTTAGAGAGAGTTCAGAGAAGGGCTACTAAACTGGTTTATGGATTACGGGATAAAACTTACAAGGAAAGGTTAAAGGATCTTAACATGTATAGCTTGGAGGAAAGACGAGACAGGGGGGATATGATAGAAACATTTAAATACATAAAGGGGATCAACACAGTAAAGGAGGAGACTATATTTAAAAGAAGAAAAGCTACCAGAACAAGAGGACAGTCTTAAATTAGAGAGGCAAAGGTTTAAAAATAATATCAGGAAGTATTACTTTACTGAGAGGGTAGTGGATGCATGGAATAGCCATCCAGCTGAAGTGGTAGAGGTTAACAAAGTAAAGGAGTTTAAGCATGCGTGTGATGGGCATAAGGCTATCCTAACTATAAGATAAGGCCAGGGACTAATGAAAGTATTTAGAAAATTGGGCAGTCTAGATGGGCCGAATGGTTTTTATCTGCCGTCACATTCTATGTTTCTATATATAGTTTCTCTCTGCAATGGCACAAGGGAATTAAACTTTTTTTGAGACCTGAGTGGAAACAAAACAAAGGACAAGCTATTGAGTTTTCTGAGCTTTTGCCCATTCTCAGTTTTCATATTCTGAGTCCACCCCCAAACCAGAATTCAAGACCAAGAAAAACTATTATGGGTGTATACTTATTGAATAGCCCCCTCACTTCTGTCACCATATATAAGAAAGTGAAGCACCTGCCCACTTCCAAGTTTGCTGTTCCAAGGAATTCAAAGTCATATCAAATATGATCTGCAGGTCAGCTAAGTTTTCAATTTAGCTATTTTGGCCTAAAATGTGAGTCACTTTGAATTTCCCACAATTCACACTTTAGTGAATTTTGTGACCCCCACATCCTACTTGTCTCTACAGAACATATAGAAGGATTTGACATTACCCCAAGTTAATGTGTTAAAACCTGTACCTGAA